TAACTCTAGAAATCTCTATTCTAAGAATATTCTTAAAAAAAAAAAAAAAAAAACTTTCCCATAATTAAAATATTATTGCACAAAAATTCAATTCTTAGGTTTGCATAAAAAAAAAAAAACACTACATTTTGTGTTATTCAAAAGCAGGCACATTCTTTGTAATTAACCACTCCTGAGATTCAATATCTTTTTGACAAAATGTACAAACATTGCTGTCCAAATTAAACTTTACTCTTAAAAAAATCACTCATTGGATAAATATAATTAATTGTTTTGAAGTTGACTTCCTTCGTTTTAAGGTATAAAGGAAATTAAACACATCTAGTTCTAACTGTGATAACGTCCGCTTTTGAAAACCTTTAGAAGTCTTTTAGAGGATGCGTGTTTGTGTTTGTGTTTGTTTGTGTGTGTGTGTGTGTGTGTGTGTCTGTTTATATATATGCATCTATTTAATAAAGCTTAATAACAAGATTTAACTCTCTATTGCAGAATCAGAGAGCCATAATCTCTAATTAACACAGAGCTTTAATAAAAGTATAAACATTCATGCCCTAAATCATTTAGTCAACTAAACAATAAGTTATAAAGTCTGTTATTTATTTATCCTCAGCCTCAAGTGCAATCAATTAATCTGCATGAATAATAATCAAGTCAACTAATTATCCAGAGGAGAAGGATTAGCCTTTCTCTGACACTTAGGAGACATGTTTGCTCAAGTCTGCTTTGTCAGACATAATTGATATCCAAATTTCCTGAGATGAATTGGTCATCAAGCAGTGTCTCCCTTTTGTTTATAATAGTGTATTATTTTATTTATACTGAGGTAAAAAAATGTTTGGTTGTCAAAAACTCTATAAATTTGTACAAAGGTCCTCCCTTTCACAATATAATTCAATGTGCTATGTCTCATTCAGTTACTTTTTTATTATCAACAATAATATTTTTGGATATATTTTGGATGTTTGTGTGTGTGTACCTGTTTTTCTATTCTGGTGGGGACTTAAACCTGAATACACACAGACTCATGGGGACTCGTGTCACGGTGGGGACCTAAATTGAGGTCCCCACGGGTAAACAAGCTAATAAATCACACATAATGAAGTTTTTTGAAAATCTAAAAATGCACAAAGTTTCCTGTGAGGGGTAGGTTTAGGGGTAGGGTTGGTGTAGGGCAATAGAAAATACGGTCTGTACAGTATAAAAACCATTACGCCTATGGAGAGTCCCCACAAGGATAGCTGACCAGACATGTGTGTGTGTGTGTGCTCATGAAATTCTTTTACCAGTGCATAAGAACATAATTACTTCACTGTATTTGAACTGTCCTTTATATTTTATACATACATATATTATTTCCTTTTTATTGTTAAAACCTTTTCTTTTTAATTTTATTTTAAATTTTCTTGTTTAATTTTCTTTTAAAATGTTTTTTTTTACCATGTCTTTTAATTTGTATGGTTCATCACCATCACATTTTAATTGGTTAATTAGAATAGATAAATAAATAAATAAACAAACAAACATTGGGCTTTCACTGTTAGGTTGTGACATTTCTAACTTTAAAAAATACACCATATATTAGAGAGTAGTAACTGTCCCTTGAATGTCGTAATTTTATATATTATGGACTGACAAGTAAAGACATTTCTTGGGATTTAAAAATGCACAAGTAACTCTTTATGGAAGTATTTCTCATACTGAGTCAACTTAACAATCATCACAGCTTACTTGCGCAACATTATTCTTCTCATGTTATAAATATAGAGTATTTTCACATAGCATAGCTACAAGTCTTCAGATATGTCATTATCAAGATTAAGATCAAGAACATTGCAACAAAACATGCCAAGACATGCCATAAACATGATTGTCAACCAACGCAACCTTCCTTGCTGAACAGGTGTGTTAATTCTGTTACCAGTGTCTTTAACCAAAACCAGCTAAACAGAAAGACTGTCATGGAAAAAAGGTAACATGTCCTTGCAGTTGCTTACACAATCCTTAAATGACTCATGACAAGCAACAACAAAAACATCCCACATTGAGAAAGAAAATCTGTTTAAATGTGGTCAAAGCTCTTTAGCTAACAAAAACTCAAAAAAGAAAATTCAAGCAGTAAGGTGAAAAAGAATGACAACTATCACATGGCTTTTCATTTCTATAACAAATTTTTTTTTTTTTACTTGAATTATGCAGTGTGGGTGTTAACCTTGACGTTTAAGTTGAGAGCCAAACCTTTTCCTTTAGTTCAGATTGTTTTGTACCTTCCTTGCTGAACAGGTGTGTTAATTCTGTTACCAGTGTCTTTAACCAAAACCAGCTAAACAGAAAGACTGTCATGGAAAAAAGGTAACATGTCCTTGCAGTTGCTTACACAATCCTTAAATGACTCATGACAAGCAACAACAAAAACCACCCACATTGAGAAAGAAAATCTGTTTAAATGTGGTCAAAGCTCTTTAGCTAACAAAAACTCAAAAAAGAAAATTCAAGCAGTAAGGTGAAAAAGAATGACAACTATCACATGGCTTTTCATTTCTATAACAAATTTTTTTTTTTTTTACTTGAATTATGCAGTGCGGGTGTTAACCTTGAAGTTTAAGTTGAGAGCCAAACCTTTTCCTTTAGTTCAGATTGTTTTGTTATGCAATACGTTCACTGAGAGAGCAGTGACTGGCTGATACAATAAAGGAATATTATAATGACTGGGTTTTCACTAAGGCATTGAGGACAAAACTGAACAAGTCAAGACTTGCTTGGAAGTGACAGAAGATTCCATGGAAACATTGGGTGGATGTTTGGGTTTTGTCTAAAACCATTAACCATTATATTGTGTTGATCAAGTAATTCAAGGTGAAGAATGAAGTTTGAATGAAAGAAAGAGCAAATATTTATTGTCATTGTATACACCCAGTGGTACAGAACAATGAAACAGTGTTAGCAGCTCTTTAAGACACCAGATAACAAGTAGAGAACAATAAGTAATAAATAAATAGATAAAAGAAACACAAACACTATAAACATACTAAACAGTAGAACAGTAACAGCAAAAGTGTAATAAAGTGAGATTGTTACTATTGAGTACTTGTAATATTGCACCTAGAAAAGTGTACATAAATTGTAAACAATATATAGCCTACATAGTAAGCAGTATAAATGGTACTGCAGCAGCAATGTACTATTTATTATAAAGTGGGAAGTGCCTTCTAAAGACAACAGTATTGCACGTATATTCATGAATTGTCAGCAGTGTTCACTGTTATTGATCAGCCGTATGTATTGAGAAATAAAAAGTCAGTCTCATATATATATATATATTGTAACGGGGTGGAAGGAACACGCGACAAGGAGAGCTCAAATAAATACCCCGGAGGGTGGATTTATTCACAGATCAAGTGCCCAAGTGAGTGCGGTGGGGGCTGAGGGGAGTCGAGGCTTCTCCGTGCGTGAGTCGGTGCTTCTCCGTGAGCGAGTTCCAGTGTCGGTGAGTCCGTGCGGCGCTCGTGTTCGGGCTGCTTGGTCACGGGCTGGTTTCTGGAATGTAAAGGAGAGAACACGTTAGACTTCAGCTTCTGGGAGAGTATGTCTGTCCCTTCCGTCGGGCCTCACGCGGCTTATCTGGCCGCGGGCTGATGACTCTCAGCTGTGACCGATCAGCCCGTGATGAGCGCGTGCAGGTGTTCCTCGTCCATTTCCAGGGCAACGCTGATGTGAGTTCGGGACGCTCGTCACAATATATATATATATACTTAGCATTCCTGTAAAATTTGCCTAAAACGCCTAAAAAAGGCATACCCAAAGTAAATCACTGAATCACTGTAAGTCTTATTGGTATTGAGTAATAGAACTTTGAACACACTGAAAAATAAATAAAAAAATTGGGTGTAACTAAAAAGGTGCCATTGTCCGGTGAGGTCAGGTTGGTATGTTACGGAACAATCTCATGTCGCATAATCGTATTAACTGTTATCTCCTGAACTGCATCTTTCTTTACCACGCAGCACCAATCCCGCCGTGCAGTCAATTTCACTGGTTAAGGTTAGGGTCAAGTGTGTGGGGTAAGTTTAGGGGTTAGCATTTTTTGTAGCATATTGTAGAAAATCAACACTTTAATTGACACAACCAATAAAATCTTTAGAATCAGCTGTGGGGAGAAGGGTCTGGCTGCAGACATGCACTTGCATTTTCAGACTTGCACTCTCAGACACCTGCACTTCCCAGATATTTGGAGACTGGTTAATCCACGAGAACGGGAATACACATTCTTCTCAAATTGTCATAAGACCTTTTCAAGAATTGATTATTTTCTGATCTCCAATTCTTTAATTGACTCTGTTGCTGATTGTATAATTGGAGTAATAGGATTGACCGATCATGCACATATGGAATTAAAATTAGAAGTGAATGTAGATTT